GCAATTCCTTCTCATGTAGAATCACTCATGCGTTCCCACCCTGTGTTCCAAGACATGCCTCTATACATCGATGACCGCTGCCATACTCTACATTCGCTGCATCTATAACGGGCCTTTGCCGCATGGGTGTACTGGAGCGGAGCAACGCAGCTCGACATTCAAGTTGTTGATGCGTGAAGTTATAGTATTAGTATTTTTATTGTTCAGGGGCGTGGACGCGCCGTATGTCGATGAAGGCGAAGGGTCGGCGGCAGGTGGGACACGCCGCTTGTTTCTGCGCTTGCTGCTGCTGCTGTCGAATGGCCCGAAGCGCACACGAGCGGCAGCATCGGTGGTCACAGGGCAGCGCCACCGCGAGCTCGGGCGGCTGCGTTCCGCACACCACGCACACGGATCGCTCTCCTTCCTGTTGTAGACACGCGGTCGTCACGACACGACCTTCCTCCACAATCTCTTCCTCCTCGCCTCGTTCTTCTCGCGGCCTCCTTTTCTTGGGCTCGTCTTCGTCACCGCCGTCAACTTCGTCGTCGATCGTGATCGTTACTTGTTGTTTCTGTCCCTCTTGGTCGTCGTCTTCGTCGTCGTCGCTGCCCAACGTGATGACTTCGTTCCCCTGCCGGTCCCTCGTGACGGTGTATCTCGTCATGGGCGCCCATGGCGATGATGTCGGTGTAGTGGCAGACGATGGAGACGCCGTGCGTCGTGCCGTGCTTTGCTTGTTGTCGTCCGCTCGTGGCTGCTTTCTATCGACGCGTTCGTCTTCGTCGTCGTCGCTGATCATACGTCGCCGCTTGTGCCGCGTGGTAGTGGTGGTTGCGTTCAGCCGCTGCTCAAGCGCTGCGCCCAAGGCCGAAGCCGCAGGGTCAACCACCGCGGGCACGCCGTGACGGTATTGCTGCTCATGTAAATGGCTGAGATACGCCAATAAGTGCGATTGGCGTTCTGCACATCGTGTGTGTGTGTGTGTGCGTGCGTGCGTGCGTGCGTGCGTGCGTGTGTGTGTGTGTGTGTGTTAATGCGGACATTGAAAGTTGCAGCTCGCGGAGCGGCGGGGTTACCTGGAGGCAGTTGGTAGGTGTAAGCGAACCGGTATATCTCGTAGCGCAGCGAGCTGTGCTCCACCAGGTCCTCCCGCTTTAACGGCAGACCCTTTAAAAACGCGCACCTCATCAGCGACTAGACTGCCTCACTTGGCCCAAGCGGGCGAGACTGCTCGCCGACAGAACCGTACCGTGAATGGGTCGGTCAAGTGGTTCCGCAGGTGCCGCTCGACTGGTGTGTACAACGATCAGAAAAGCAGTCAGGTCGAGAGGTCAGATTGGGGGTTGTGGAGAGGGGGGGGGCGAGAGCGCAACTGGTGGTCCGGTCGACGGCGTTGCCGGAGGGCAGGAGGACCGGGTCCTGCATGGCCTCGCACGTGATGGGGTCGAGGAAGTGGGCCGGCAGCGCGTCGGCGGGGATCCGCCGGAGCTTCTCCAGCCACTCCTGCTGCACACTCTACGCGCCACCTTGATCAGCGTCGCACACGCCACACGCACACAAACGACAACGACACACCCGACTCACACAGGTCGCGTACTGGCTGAGGTGGCCGGTCGAGGGCGATGCGCGGCGGTTGAGGCTCGGGCTTGAGCGCAGACAGGCGTGTGTGGACGCGGGTGAGCGTGGCTTTGTCGCACGAGGCCGCGGGCTGGCCCCAGACTTCGAGGCCGGCCAACCCCACGTAGCCGCTGTGCTCCACTGCTCACGCGTTAGAAACGTGAGTCGTGTCGCGGGCGCGGGCGCGTCGTGTGCGTACTTTTCTTGATGGTGATCTTGAGCTTCTTGACCTTGGCCAGCGCGTAGGCCGACCTGTCGATGCGAATCCGCGACCTGTCCGGCAGTCCGGGCGACCTGCCCAATGAGTTTCAGAAAACAATAAATATTTTCAATATTTATTTCCTATGTACATTTGCCTTAATCACACGATGTGGCGGAGGTACCTGCTGGGTGGGAGGTCTTGCCAGTCCAACGCGCGGCCCCGAAACCCGGGGTTGTAGAACAGCACGGCACTGGCCTGCCAAGGAGGTAACAACAACAGCGCGCAGCGGGCAGCCGGTCGGTCACCACAACAGGCAACAACCACAGGAAAGCAGGGGAACGTGGCGTACGGAGTCGTGGTCGGGTGGTGTGAGCTTCGTGTGCAGATCGCCATACGAGCCGAGATACTTCCATTCGTCCTCTTGGTTTAGTTATGGTCCCAATTAGTTGTTAGCCACATCCCGC